TGTTGGGTTGCTCAAACAGTTTCCTAATTTGTTTTGTGGCATTAATAGCACAGAAATTGCACTGTTCACTGTTTGATACTAGAGATCGCTGTTTATTTGCTCATTTAACCTCTGTGCTGTTAATTTCATGTTCTCCTTGTCATCTTTTGTAACCCTGCTTGTTTTCTTGTCCTGTACAGGTGCCCGTACCTGGCAGTGCACCTGTCTCCGGCCATCCCTGTGTTTGCAGTGTTGCTCTTCGTCTTCGTAATGGCCATGCTGCTCAGAACCAGCTTCAGTGACCCAGGGGTGCTGCCACGGGCGTTGCAGGAGGAGGCCAACTTCATTGAGATGGAGATCGGTGAGTGTGAGGCTGACTGGGTTCAGGGAAGGGTATTTGAGGTTTAATACCATAGTTTGAACCATTAGTGCCATCTGCGGTTGTTTTGACCCAGCGAGGGGAAGAACATGTATGGTGTAGCAGGCGTGTGGCGGAAGTGGGACGGTGTAAGCCCAGACCAGCTTATTAATTTATCGTTTTGTTATGCGATTAAAAAACTGAGTGCTTTGGACCATGTACTCTGAGTTCATCTGGGAAACATTGTGTTCTTCTTGACTTGACAAGCTTGATGGACTGTAAATATTGATGTAATTTCCCCCTCCCAATATCCATTGTTCTTGATGCTTCTCTGCTGCACTCCATTGCACAATACACTGTTTGTTGTTTGAATGTCAAAAAGATTTAAAAGTTATATTTTTTTGGCTGGTCTGCCTCTCGACTGTAACAGTATTTGTCAATGTCAAAATGATTGAGATGGCCAATCAAATCAAATATATAATTATTATTTTAATAATTTATTTAATTCCTTTAAATGAAAATACCATAACCCCATATTTGCCATAACACGCCGAAATTTGAATCGTGATTCACTGGAAACTTTCCCTAAATGCAATTACTTTTATTTGTACATGTATATATTCATATTGACAACTACAGATGCAACGCACCAATTTTTACATTATTTATTCTCCTAAGTCTCTTAAAAAAAATGTCCCACATAATTCATAATACAAGTGAGATTTCACTGCTACAGTGGACTTGAGCTGAACCAGGAGAATGCAAGTTTGAGTCTTATCCATGTATTTCTGATCCAACCACATTCCTGCCTCTCTCTCTCCCTCTACACTTTCCTGTTTTTCTTCACTTCAGTATTCATTCTAAGGCACAAAAAGCAAAATAAAATATAATATCAGATATTTTTCACATGACTTGTGCACACCCACACAATTGCACTTGCACGTCAACTGCCTTGAACAGAAACCAGTGTTCACTGAGTGAAAGTTATATCTTTTGCAGTGGTGTTCGGCAGAAACTCTTAAGGCTCAAAAATCCTAGGACTCACCGGAGACATTTGTCTTGTATTTTTTTAAATGGCAAGGATTTTTCTTGGACTTAAATTATCTGCTCAAACATTCATTGTTAAAGGGTGAAAGAAATTAGACCTTTCCAGTCGTCTTCCTCAGTGATTCAATTGAACTTAAATAGAGAGAGAGAGAGAGAGAGAGAGAGAGAGAGAGAGAGAGAGAGAGAGAGAGAGAGAGAGTAAAAAAATGCCCATTTACCCTGCAGCAAAAATATAATTTTTTAAGAAAATAGGACTATAATAAGGAAATATAGCTGCAAGCAGCCATTACAGGGCCAAGCGCAAAAAGCAGAAGACAAGACATGCCAACATGGCTGGGAGTTTCAGACCAACAGCAGCAAGGAGCAATTAAATACATTTAAAGATGAATTTAGGCAAAATAAATTATACTGTAACTTGTATAATGATTTATCACTTACAAACCAATAGGTGGTGCAATTATTAAAACAAAGCATTGTGATTAGAGTGAGGTGACAGTGACACATACAAAGTTTGATGTCAAAATGTGAAGGCATTGCAGAGATAAAGCCTAAATGGTCATTTTGGCAGCATGCCTTAACTTTGCTGTGGTATAAAAAAAAACGATTTTGTCTATCATCACAAAATCCATAACTTTTAGTCGGCACGTTCGGGAGATGATATGATTAGATTTTGGTGAAAATCGGACCAACGGTCTAGAAAACCTTGAAAAAGAAGGTCTTAAAAAATAAATATTTTTTTCTTTTTAGCTGAAGTTTAGCTGATTATGGGAAACCTGGTATCTATGTTTTCAGCATAACCAAAGGAATCTATTAAGATCAGTGTCATTACAATAGGCATTTTTTTTTTCAAAAGTTATTAGTATTTTCAGGAATTAATTATAACTTTTGACAAAAAGGTGGCACTGTCTCAAAATATTTTGAGTACCTTCAGGCATGCTGCTAATGGCACACATTGAGTTTCATAATATAACATCAATGCATCTGTTTAATATTTAGATTACAAGTATAGCATTGTAATCACAAAATTCTATTGAATTCAATGGCAATTTCATGTTTTGTTCTATTATAGCACCACCAAAAGGCTCAGTCCAACCTTTTTTTTAATGTGTCCTCAGAGTGAGCCCATTTCAGAAAATATCTGAATTCGAGTAATAGTCATTTATGCGGAAAAAAAACACGTCAAAAATGACTGACCCATGACATTATATGAATTTTACTACCCCTTACTATCAATATTTTGACCCTTGGGCATTGGTGTTTAGCCATCGACTTATGTTTCCAAAGTTCTGACGGTAGTTTCGTCTCGATCGAACTAGCGGTTTCCAAGATATCCGTAAATGTTTTTTAAGCGCTAAATTCGAAAACTGGCAAGTCTGGCATCGTTGGACTTGGATTCAGGAGTCTAATGATATGCAGTTGAAAATTACATTTTACCACTAACTTTCGAAAGTTTAAAAATGTTCAGGCTCCTTCAGGGCATCCCCTGATGACCCATACCGAGTTTCGGTACAATTCGTTCATGCGTTCAAAAAATACAGCATTTTAGCATATTATTAAAAATGGCCAACAGCCATGGCCGATCTGGGAAAATCGGATATCAATCGACTTGCCATGACGCCCTGAATCTAACGGGACCATTTTTATGATTTTTTGGCAAACCGTTCAGAAATTATGAGGAAAAATAGCCATTTTTCATATCTCCAGGCCAGTAGGTGGCGCTGTGCTGAAACGCAGCATGTAGCCTCAGGTTATACTTGTGATGACACGTACCAAGCTTGATCTAAATACGATTAAGTGTTGCGGAGATACAGCCTTACGTCTGTTTTTGCAAGCGCTACGTAAAAGTTTGTTCGTTTATCAAAAACGGTTGAGCGAATTGACTTTTTGAATGTCACAAAGGTTAATGTTAATGACTAATTAAATGCAATTAGTTTAGATGAGCTTGCTACTGCCATCTTGATAATTTCGCTTCTATTGATTCACTTGTGTGGTTGTGGCTCTGTGGAAATAGTGCCTTGTCTAGTTCAGTCACCAACGTGTCACCGCTCCCGTACTGAATACAAGATCTGGGCTACAGTTAAGATGAACTCATGTCCCTACACTCTCTATCCTCTCTTCTTTCTGTTCCACCGCCCTCATCCCAACTCCCCTCCCTGGATTTCTCTTTGTGTTACCATTGTTACACATGGCCTTGGGGCGGTACAGCATTTGTTATTATTGATGTTCAATAAATCAGGACATCATGATAACTCACAGTAACCGTAACCTCTTGTATTATTAAATGTACACTAACTCCTATTTTCACTGATTTTGTTTAACATTCACATTTAGAATTTTTCTTCAGCTCTCTCTAATAGGGTGTGTTATATACTAAATACATTAAATGGTACAAAAAATATACATCTTTTTCATTCTGTAATTTAAGCCAAAAGTCAGTGGTTAAAGTTAAATTGATTAAATCATTTTATTTTGTATATTGATGCGACAGAGACATTTTGAGTAGAAATACACTTTTGAAGAAAGTAGTATATAGCTGGTAAGTCAAAAAGGAACTTAATGCATTATCAGGTTAATAACAACAACAAGATTTTTCACAAATTATTTACAGCGTATTGTTGAATGTTGAAATCCTTGGTTTATTTCAATTCATCAGTCACTCAAGGCTGTTTTTTTGTTTGTTTTATTGAGACAGCTATCATACCAAAGCCAAATTGTTGGTATTGATTCAACTTACTCTTAACACAGGGCAGTTATGTTTGAGTACTGCAGCAGGGCAGAGCAAAGATTGATTTCTATAAATTTCCTCTGCCGTCTCTGCTTGATTTCAACATCCCAGCTTTAACATGCTATTTTTAGATGAATGTCTGTGTTGCTGATTAAAAGTGGCTAATGCTGGATCAGATGCAAGTACGGATGTGCAGTTTTAGCCAACCTTGGCTGGCATGTGGATTAGGAGGCAGTGTAGTTCTACCTTGGGAGCAAAAGCTAATGCATCCACTTCCCCGGAGTATAAAAGTGCAGAACTGACAAATGTGAGGAAATTAAATTAGCTTTTTCCACTCCATGTTAAAATTCAAGTCTTGTTTTGTAATGTAAACAAAGAGCTATCAGAACAGATGAATTGAGTCATTTTGAGCAAATGCAAATGAAAGGAGAGGGAGTATAAAAGATGAAATTCTTCAGTGGTCTGGATCTGCATTTAAAGCATTGAGATAAAAGGAGACAAGAAATCATGAAAAAGTTTTCATTTTGTTTTGTGTTAATATGGACAGCCCCAGTGCCGATAGCCTCATGGGCAGTGTGCCGTCACGTATCGCTGTTGCGCTTCGGATGCAAAAGGAATTTCGCTTCCTTTTTTTATATTCGCATTGGGCTCATTACTCTAAGAAGAGCATTTTAATCTATTTCATCTTAACATTTTACTTTTGTGCAAAAATTATTATGCTTTAACTTTTGTATTTGAGGGTGACCTATTCCTATAAAGTGTCTTGTGTCATTAGTCATACCAGCTGTAGTACCCTTGAGCCTTGTGAGTCCTCCATCAGTGGCTGTGCTCTGTGTCATGCATATGGAGAGCATCACTGCCACGTTTATTGTTTCTACCCAACTCTTGCAGAAGCGGCCAATGGGAACGTCTTGGCTGGACAGCGGCCTCCGCCTCGCATCAAGAATGTGCAAATTAACAACCAGATCGTCAAGCTGAAGTACTGCTACACCTGCAAGATCTTCAGACCCCCTCGTGCTTCCCACTGCAGCATCTGTGACAACTGTGTGGGTGAGTGATTGAAACATTAACCCTTTGTACTTCAGCTATGAATTGTACCCCAAATAGTGTGTGTGTTTTTATGGAAGCAAAATAATGACAAATGATTTTGAAACAAAAAAGCTTGTTGAATTCAATCTGTGAAAATTTCAATTCAGAACATTTCACACCAGTTTTCTTTATTAAAAATCCATATTCACCTTTCAGATTTCACTTCAAAAATGTTAATTCTGTTTAAAAATACAGGTTGTAATATTCGACTGGCAATTTTCGGTCCAATTTATTTGAACCAAATTTGGGTTGTAATTTGGTTGCAAGCGACTGTTGGTGAAGAAAAATATAGAGCAATGGGCGAGAGACTGATAAAGACACAAAAGCTGTGTTTACATCAAGTATTCACAGTTACTTTTGTACATGTATGCAGCTTTCTCTACTGTGAACGATATTATGTTATTCCCAAATGCTGATGTACAGATCAAACGTTAAATCTGAGGTAGTAGACATTATATTTCTTTTGGTTGTTTAGTTTTCTTAACTTTATATTGTGGTGCTGTGCTGCAGAACTGGGGATTCCCTCAATACATCACTCTCCAGGATTCCATTGCGGTCAGGACACTTAATGCTTAATGGACTAATACAGTGATATAAGACCCAACTCGAACCTTATTGGGGATGTAGCTGGGGTACTAGACATAGGAACAGGCAAGTGGACAAAGTTTCACGATAAGCGTTTTTGAGTGAAAAACTGGCATAAAGTTGGCTTGACACTGATATTCGCATATTGGGACTGTCTCTAAAGTTACATACGACATTGGTACACACGGGATATTCAATCATATTAAAGATAAAACCATGTTTCAGTCCATAAAATTGCAAGCCCTAAAAATACAATGTTGTGCAATTCACAAGCTTTTTGTTTCAAAAACATTTGTCATTATGGAATTAAAATATGCTTTTTTTCTAAATGACTGAATTTTGCTAGAAATGCTGCTCTTTAGAATTTTCTGATCATCAAAAACATTGATAACAAATATTGATAATAATACTAAATTTTTCTTGAGCACCAAATCAGCACATTAGAATAATTTCTTTAGTGACACTAAAAAATGTAGTTTTGCATTCGCACACAGATCTCACCATCATGAGTCCATCTGTGATAACATGAAGAAACAAAAAAAAAACTGAGACAGACTAAATCCAGAAGAACTGCAGCAACGTCTCTAAGACGCTTAAAGAAACCGACCTGCAAAGCTACCTGAAAAACTATGTTAAAGTGTACCTGGACAAAAGCTGTTTTAAACGCAAAGGGTGGTAACACCAAATATTGATTTAATTTAGTTAATAGAAGGCAATTGATAAATAAAATCTATTTATCTTTTTTTTTTTTTTGCAAGCATCCTCAGTTTACAGCATTTCTACACAAGTGCCTAAAACTTTACTCAGTATTGCAGATTTGCAGGTAAGTTTCTTCAAATGTCCTGGAGACGTTGCCACAGTTGTTCTGGATATTTAGTCCGTCTCAGTTTCTTCATGTAATCAAAGACGGACTCATGATGGTGAGATCAGATCTTTGTGTGGATCATACCGGCTGTTGTCAGACTTCTTGGGCATACAAAAATCTCACTGGATTATTAAAATTAATGGCAGAAGAAATGTTTGGAAATGTAAACTGATATTTCCAAAAATATATAAATAACTGCCTTATCTTTTGTGAAAATACTAACGTGACTAAGACTTTTGCACAGTACTGTATATATGCTAATTTCTTCTTTTTTACTATGTCACAAGAATTCTTACCTTTGATATAGTTGCACCAGTACGTGCCATTTGACACTCCAGTATAATAGTGAATTGTTGAGAGATGTGTCAGACAGCACACTCACTCGCTCACACATACATATGCTGATATTAGAGAGTTCACCGATGGCTCAGTTCTGCTCTCTTTGCACAGTCATCCTGAACACAGGGCCATTTGTTTGGGCGGCCTGCACCTGCCGCACATACAATCTCTGGTTTGGTACCGTCTCCTGATATTTTTAGTAGCTAAAAAAAATACAATGAATAGCTAAAAATATCTGCCCATCTCTGTTAGAGGATCCACCATCAGAATGTAGAAACTGACTTTGAGGCTTTCACAAATTGGTATGAGAAATTTTGTTTGTAAAGTCTCAAGGTTCTGTGTGTCTTCCCTCAGACCGGTTTGACCATCATTGTCCCTGGGTCGGAAACTGTGTAGGAAAGAGGAATTACCGATATTTCTACCTGTTTACACTCTCGCTGTCTCTACTCACCATCTATATCTTTGCCTTCGACATCGTTCATGTGGTTCTACGTGAGTATCACAGCAAGAAAATGTGTTTGTGTGTGAGTGTATAGGTGCACTAATGTATCTTTAGTGTAAACATCCAAAAACAGATTATTTGAAATTATCAGGCGCAGACAATTGGAACGCCAACATAAGAAAACTGGACTCACTGTACACCAATAAGCTTACAAGTATCACAGCCATCATTATAGATCAGCGCTCACATCAGCTCGCACAGCTTTTTATTCTGGGATCATTCACTCTGGATCCTCCAACCCCCGGACTCTGTTTGCCACAGTTAATAAATTACTCAAACCTATTGACAATATCACTCATTTATTCTTCATCATGGACAAATGCAATAATTTCATAGAATTCTTTAAATACAAAATTGACAGCATTCATCAAGAACTCTGCGTGAACATTTCTCCCAGAATCTGACTCGTCCACTCCATTTCGCATCATTCTCCCCTCCTTATCAGTCATTACAGAAACCGATCTCACTGACCACTTCAACAAAATCCACCTCACAACCTGCCCACTGGACCCCATTCCATCTGCACTGGTCAAGCACTGCCTCCCCCGCCTCAGCCCTCTCATCATGGCTATCATCAACTCCTCTCTCACCTCTGGAACAGTTCCTTCTTCCCTCAAAGTTGCAGCCGTCACACCAGTACTTTAAAAACCTGGCCTGGATCCTGACAACCCCAACAACTTCCACCCCATCTCTAACCTACCTTTCCCGTCTAAAATCCTAAAACGCTCAGTCGCCTTTCAATTAAAACGCCTCCAATCAGCTCTACGAAACCTTTAAGTCTGGATTCCGCACTCATCACTCTACTGAAAATACACTACTCAAAATAAAATGACCTCCTTCTCACCTCTGACTCTGGTTCCCTCTCCATTCTCCTCCTACTTGACCTATCTGCCTCCTTTTGACCACTCCATCCTGTTACAACGCCTACAACATCTTGGAATCTTTGTCTTGGCTCTCTCCTGGTTCACCTGCCTTACCAACAGATCTCAATTCATATCCATCAACAACTGTATGTCTCACACCATACCTGTCAATCACGGAGTCCCTCAAGGCTCGGTGCTTGGTCCCCTTCTGTTTATCCTGTACATGCTTCCCCTTGGACTAATCATTCATAATCATGGATTAAAATTCTATAGTTACGCAGACGACACACAACTATACCTCAGTACCAGATCCATCATCACTCCTGCCACAGTATTAATCATCACAACCTGCCTTTCTGCAATAAAATCCTGGATGAATGCCAACTTCCTTAAACTCAATTGCAATAAATCCAAAATCATCATCATTGGTCTCAAATCACTCCTCCCCTCCTCCCAAGACTTCACTCTCTCCGTCGATGGCCATACAGTTACCACCTCTCCCCAGATCCGAAATCTTGGTTTCATTTTTGTGCCCACACTCACATTTAAGCCCCATATCCATCATAACACCAAAAGTGCCTTTTCCACCTATGTAATATTGCTCGTCTACGCCCTACCCTCTCCACATCTGCTGCAGAAACTCTCATCCATGCATTCATTACATCAAGACTCGACTACTGCAATAGTCTCCTATATGGTCTCCCATCCTCTGATATAAAAAAACTGCATTGCGTTAAAAACTCCGCTGCCCGCCTCCTCACCCACACCCGCTCCAGAGACCACATTCCCCCGTCCTTCAACAGCTTCACTGGCTCCCTGTACAACAGCACATCCATTACAAAGTTCTGCTCATCACTTACAAAGCCCTCAATAACTTGGCACCTCCATATCCCACAGACCTATTACAGCATCATCGCCGCCCCTCCGGACGCTTCCGCTATGCCGACTTGGACCTTCTCAACACCGAACTTTGGGGGACCGAGCATTCGCCATCACTGCCCTTACCCTTTGGAACTCACTCCCCATCCACATCAGCAACTCGGACTCACTGACCACCTACAAAAAACTGCTTAAAACCCTCCTTTTTTAGCTCGCCTAGTGCTAAAATTAGCACTCTCATCATTGTTTGTTTGTTTCATTTGTAAAGCGTATTTGAGTTCATTGGAAAGCGCTATATAAGACTATTGTAGTATTATAATTCAATTTTCATGTTATCGATAACCATTTAAAATGCACAGACTGATTTAATAATCGAGGTTTCTGGGAAAACAAGTGCCTTTAAGCGACACTCAATATGTACTCGAATGCTGTTCTCTCAGGTGTGATTCAGTGCGGCAGCATTTAGGATATTGGAAGAGCCTTTATGCTCTTGTAAACATTTGCTCTCTTTGATCTTCTCAAAGTGCATCATAGCCTGCAAGGATGAGAGAGCAGCAGAATTCACATTAATTGCCTGGACAATTTGCTCTGAGCCTCTGATCTCAATATCAAAGTAAAACGCATCATAACTGTATAGACAGAGATATCACATGTACTTTAAACAAAATGCCTGTGCCTTCGAAAAGCTGCTTTTCGTGTCAACATTGCCATAGCAACAAGAAACTTTTGTGTCTTGTCAAAGAAAGCCTTACTCGCACATCATCATGTAGACATCGCAACCCAACAAAATGAGATCTCTCTTTTTATTATAAAAAACAAAGCTGTCTACACTGTAAGCACATGTTGTCTGTTTCTATTTTGACTCTCTGAAGAGTGAGGCCAATCACTTTATTTCCCCGATCCACTTGAAACCCCCCCCACACACACACACAAATATCAAATGTGCTTTTTTAATTTTCATTATGTTTTTAAATCAGTTCTGTCCTTTCATCGAATCCAGCTTGTGCTGTTTCCAATGCCTGGCCTGTTAAATTAAATAATTTAATCTAATATAATTCTTACCTATGTATCTGCAGTCCTCGGTCTCTTCCGTTGTGGACACAGTAGGTTACTCCAACTCCAGTTGTATTTGCGCTGGATACGAGGCACTTTTTAATATGAATATAAGCTGGTGTATTTAAAGGTTTACAGTTATTGTGCAGGTTAAGATACACACCACCTCTTTCAATCTGTCTTTAATTTAATTTGGAATTTCAGATTGAGGTGTTTAATTGAACACTTCATCGTATTTATTAAAGGAATAGTTAGCTGAAAACTAAAACGTATGTTATTATTTACTCACCCTCATGTCATTCCGATCCGGTATGCTGTTATTTTCCCTGTGGAACACAAAAATAGAATTTTTAAATAATCTTCACAACATATTTTTCAAGATCCAATTTTTTTTGGAACACTGCAAATGACCCTAAAATGTGCTCTGTATTATACAAGTCTCGTGAGGCCATATGATTGCTTTGTATGATGCACAGAACAATATTTAAGTTTAAATTGCACGTTGGACATCAATAACATCAAGCGTCATTGGTTCTCAATTATCACATAACCAAATGTCATCATGCCAAACCTTCACCATAGGTGTCATATTCAATTTGAGAGCTACTGAGTGGGTTAATACATTAGTGAATAATGACATGCATTTTTTTATGTTTCTTACCTAAAATCGTAGATACTGTACATTTATTCAACAGGCTACCCTCTGATGCTTTTTAAAGTATGTATTTTATCCTTTCAGTTTGCTAGCCTGTGATGGTTATTATGAATAATGACAAATATTTCATTTTTGGGTAAACTATTACTTCATCACATTATGAGGCTGAACCCAAACGTGGCTACTGTGGTTGAAAAGGTGAATGTAAAAGAATAATGCAAACTTCTCAGCACTGGCAGAGTGTGGGTGGATGTGCGAAAATCTTCTGAACATGTAATGATAGGAGAGAGAATGTGAGATGCTGAGACCTCTGATGCAGTGAGTTACCGCTTGCAATGCATGCATGGATACATAATGTAAATAAACACAATTTGTGTGTTTTATAGGATCTGTGGACTCAGGATTTGTGAATACCCTTAAAGAAACACCTGGAACATATCCTTTCATTTTAGCTCCAGAGCCACTAAATGAAGACTTGAAAACAAAATGAGCTCCTCATAAACCTGCCATGTTTTGAATGATTTATAAAGCTAAACATAGTGTTTGTGTACTATCTGTGTAACAGTTGAACAGGCACATAGCACATATAGTTCAAACACATTTTTTTTTTAGCTTTTTGTAGATATTTTTGAGAATGATGTGTCCTTGACTCCCCATTGCACTGTGTTGGAGGTTCTGGTGTGTTTTTTCACCCTCTGGTCTGTGGTGGGATTGACTGGCTTCCATACCTACTTGATCTCCCTCAACCAGACCACCAATGAAGATGTAAGTCTGTTTCTCACCTGTCTGTTCCAAAGTCTATTGTCGGTTCTTGACTCCTGCTGCTGTCACATGGTTGGAAAGATAAACACATGCCCTAGAGCATTTCAGCACACTAGATCCAGCAGTCACCTTGGCAACCGTGCCTTCTCTGTAATAAGGAAGCACAGAGAACATCTCAACACGAGTTTTATGTACAGTATATACAGTATTTATGGCACTGTTTATGAACAGGGTGCACAGTGGTGTGGTGTCCCGTTACATTTTTAAAGCACTTGAGACACAAATCCCTTGTTTTTTGTTTGCTGTTAGATAAGCTATTATGTAACATAAGATTAACCTTGCATGAAAAGAAGCTTTAAATGCATCAGATGTCTATGCACATCATAATATGACATTTCTGGCCACCTGATTTCTTTACTTTTGTGACTATCCAAACTGTTGAAGTGATATTTAACTCATTGTAGTAAAAAATATTTGTGTTATCTTTTTAAAGCTCATTTTAATTATGAACTATTAATTAATGAAAACTATTAAATAAAATAAAGGAAAATAAAATACAAATATGACATTTGAGTCCTACATTTTACTGTTATCACATAACTGGAATGTAATCTTAATATTCTACGTCTAATGGTTTAAAATTTATTCTAATTATACATTTTTACAACCTGGTTACATAAGCTTGATGTTAATTTTCTAGAAAAGCACAGAAAGCAGGCTTTATTAAGGATATTTAGTTGCAAAGTCACAATCCTTTAGTAATGGGTGCAAAAATTCCAAACCTCAGAAAACAAAATTATAATTAAAAATGATTATTTATTTAAAGGTTATTCAAATCAACATTTTCTAAAGGTTAAGCATCTCCTTTTGGTGATCATTTTATAAAAAGAAAATAAAAAATGACGTTTCACGTCCTGTTGTGTACCCTATTCATGAAAAATATCTACTACGTATGCTCAACCAAATTCATATAGTGAACAAACACACACATATATAAATTGCATATATAATACTTAGATTCCCTGCAGCAGTTTGAGTGCTCTGATTTAGTTTCGCATAATCTGTAGTTCTGTGGCATTTTCACACTTAGCCCTAATGATTAATTTAAAATGTTTTCTTGCCACATTTGCCCTCTGGCCATTCTTTTCCTGTTAATGAGGAGTAAAAAAAAGAGTGAGAAAGGGCTTCAGAGAAGGATGGAAGTGCTGCAAGTAATATGATGTTGCATGATGGCTGTTCGCCTTTGATTATGAATAAATTGGTTCCTTCTTATAATAGATTTATCAATACCTGCAGATAAAATTCAGATACAACTAAACTACATACTGGAACCTGAAGCTGGTAACATTTCCGTTGGGGAATACCATGCATGAAACGTTTTTTATTTTTTTTATTTTTTAGATTTGCCTGTAATGCATACATGCATTTCTATCTAGGAGCAGATGAAACAGTAACAGTGTGACTTTTCAAGATGAAGAACCTTGAAGTGCTTGACTAGATCAAATGAGATCCATAGGGAAGGAATGGCTAGAACTGAAACAGCACATTTGAATAAAGGATAATAAATAAGAGATTATTTTTTTATCCAGCCTCATTTGCATGGTCGCTTTAAAACATAAAACATCAGAGTGAAGATCCAGTTGAAGGTTGAATCAGAATGAGACAGTAGTTCTGACATTGTGCTGGTTTTAAGTTCTTCATCTCTTCTGCATAGATCAAAGGTTCGTGGTCGGGAAAGAACCGTGTGCAGAACCCCTACAGTCACAAGAACATCTTTAAGAACTGCTGTGAGGTTCTTTGCGGCCCTGCTTACCCCAGGTAGGAAGATTACAGTAGTTTTGCTTGTATACAGTGGCTCTAAAAAGTATTTTGGTACTTTGGATGTCATTGCATTAGATATGCCTTTACTAGTAATTTTAGATTTTAAAAAAAGCTCCAGCATTTCTTTGCAGATGCTACATGGTTTGTGCCACTTCTAGACTCAGGGTTATACATCTGTGTTTCTCTCTTTCCAGTGTGTTGGACAGAAGAGGTGTGATGCTGGAAGACTCGTCTAGCCCCGCCCCTTCTGATGCGTCTCCTGCTCCTACCGATAAGAGCAGCAACCCTGTTCCACAAACCACAGTAAGACATTTTTTATGAGTGTGTGAGCGAACAAGCCGGTGCACATTAGGCAGAAATGTTGAGTAGTGAGTCTGCAAGAAATATCCTAAATCAATTACCCTAAGAGCTGGGAGGGTTAGAAGGTGAGGGAAAAGAACCAAGTGGAGTAAATGAATGCATTAAGCGGTTTTAGCTTGATGTGGCTATTATAGGGCTGATAGACATAGTGCTGAAGTTTGAACTGCTCTGCATGTTCATTATATTGGTAAAGACCCTAAAATAGATCAGTAAAAATGTAAATATGTTTGGTCAGATGGATCAGGGTTCCCATGATGAATATAAAAAAAAAACATCAGGGACATAATTTTAAACATGTTATTTCTAATCATTTCTTCTATATATTTTTCTAGTTATGTTTGGGTCTAAAATATTTAATTGGCTAGAAATTGCTTTTTGTTAGTGCAGTCTGTATATAAGGATTATTTTTCATAAGATAACATTAACTTTTTTTTTTTTTTAAAGTTAGAAAATGCTTAACACCTGACGTTACCCCCATAGAACCATTTTGACTGATTTTTTTCCTTTTAACCTTTATTATAGTGAAGAAAATTCAGAATTATCATCAACTATTATGACGATTCACTTAGAATCGAGTAGTTTCTTCTCTCTTTAAAAGGGTTTCCAAAGTATAAATCCTATTCATTGGTTTTTAATGATAACTTATAAACTGTTAAAGACAGACCTACTATGAGGGAGCTATGAGTGTGTTAATTGATAGCATATGTTTCAAACCATCACATTATATATATATAGATAGATAGATAGATAGATAGATAGATAGATAGATAGATAGATAGATAGATAGATAGATAGATAGATAGATAGATAGATAGATAGATAGATAGATAGATAGATAGATATAGTGATATAATGATATTGATAATGGTAATGATATGACGAGGTGGGCACAGTTGCACTCTTTTAGCCACTCTGTCTTTACAAAATCCTTCCAAGTTTAAGTACCTACTTGTGTACATTTAACCCTGGTTAAGAACAATGGCACTCACTCATTCACATTGATGTGAATATCACTCTTCAATTGATAACGGTGTGTTTGCACTTCCTGCAGAAATCCTCAGCTCCCCTAATTCCCAATGAGCACACCCCTGATGAAGCCAAACCTGGCATTGGTTCAGGCACCCAGAAGAGCGCCACCTCCCCTAAAGATGAGAAACCCCCCTCGCCAACTTCCCCCAATGCCGTCTCCCCTGGGGTCATCAAAGAGTCGACCCACTAGCTTTGGCTGCGTTGTCTAGACTTCTCTCAAACTTCTGAATGTGCTCACATGAAGGAACACACACAGAAAAACTGTTTTGACTCTGACTTTCAAAACGGTGGCCTATGTTCTCTGATACTCTTTCGCAGAGCGTGTTATCCTGCCTGGATCCTGCGCTAGCACTCGAGACTAGATCTGGAGGTCTTGAGACTCTCATCTCTGAATCACAGCATGATGAAGCTCACAATGAGGCAAATGAGGAGCCATAGACTGAATCAGAGTAGAATAGGCTACACTTAAATGTAATGAGGACATTATTTCCCTTGAAAGAGCTTGTGAAATGATCAGTTGTTTTTTTCAGTGTCATTACCCGTTCCTGTATAGCCTGCCTCTATTATTCCTAACCATTTGTGTGCCATGTAAAACCCATAACTTGCTTCTATAGTAGTTTGTAAAAAATGCCCTTTGGATTAGACTTTTTTTTTTTTTTCAAAGTGTGATAAGGAAAAGTGCTTTAGTCATAAACGGCCCAACAAAACCGCTTTATTCGGTTGATGGGGTCATTTGGATCAGCTTAGTAAGTCAGTCAGTTATAAATGGGATTTAACTCAGAAAGTTAAGCTCAGACTTGATTTTACAATCAGCATGGATGGTAGAAAGCAGAGGCCGTCAGATGTATGTGCCAGTGAGTACAGGCCGATTTTGCATCAGTGAGAGTGCCTTATCTATGCTCTACCATTACATCTACAGAAGACTCCATAATACTACTCATACCTGTACATGCAAGTCAGTGTCATTTTTATACAATGCTAATGATCTGTCAGAACGCAAAAAAGCCATGGAGTTAATGTACATATTTTAAAAGTAACTGAGAAGCTGCAAATTCCCTATATTCCCTATATAAGTGGAAGACATTGTTAATACAATTATTTTGATCTTTAAGTTAATATTTTCCCTCCATATTGTCTTATTAGGGAGGTCTTTCCACAACCGCCTGACATTTGAGCACCATTTCCGGCTAGTTGACCAATCCATCTTCAGTGTCATTTAAGCATGCTCTTGCATTCAGTTGAGAAATATCTTTAAATTGTGCTTGTTTTTCTTTTCCCACACATTCTTTTATGGTAGCAAATCTTGCCCCAGTGTAGAAGCGAATGTGCAATGTAGTCACCTTTACTAATTTCACTGTAGTATTTTAATGGCCACTTGTAAGGGACACATCTACAGACTTCAGGGACTAATATTTTTAACATGCGTTTCTCATCATATCCACCTACACTGGGCAGTATTGTTAAGAAGTGAATTAAGGATTTGGAAAAGCCAGCTTTGAATGGTTCAGTGCCATCTTAAAGCATTTGGAAGTGTATGAACTGGAATATTTGTGAGATGCATTCATTAGTTTGTTAGTAACTCTACTGGTGTTGAAAAATGTGTTGAGGGTAAAAGGCTGTTATCGCAGGAAATGCAGTCCTGCATAACTAACAGAATGTGCTTCTGATGTTTAATTTATAGCAAATGAATACAATGCTGTGAACAATTGTGATGATTGTTTACACTGTCTGCTAATGTGTATGGAAGATGTGAATATTAATTTGCTAGGCTGAAGGTATTACTGAGTATATGGAAATGTGCTTAAAGTTAAGCTGAATCAATCCCACTAGTTTTGTTATTATCAAGAATTTTGTGTCATGCTAATTTACTAAATGAGGCACATAAATAATCAAAATCTTTAATGCAAAGTCAGTGTAATTTGTAAGTTTGGAATATTAGCAAATGATGGTCCGCTCTAGATATGTGGATGCGATGCATAATGTACACATTGTACGTCATCACGAATTGGGTTATGTTCAGTTTGCTTGGTAATAACACTGTGATCATGTATATGCTCATACTCTCCACTTTCTACTTTATGAATCTGTGTGTAAATGTATGTTCATTAAATTATATGGTATTATTACAATTTCTTCTTTGTGGTGTGGTTTCAAAATTTAGTTGTTTTTTTTAAAAGCAAACGCTGAAAGTACATACATCAAAATAAGCAAGACAAACGGAACAGTAAAAAGGAAATACAGATATTGAATAAACAACAATAGCTTTGAAAACTAAATAAACCATATTATAACAAACATTACCACAAACAGGAACCAAAGTCATTGACCATAGAAGCAAAAGAATAATATGCAAATACTAAACAATGCGCCTTTCCTCTTTCATTCCTGGCAACAACAAAAAAATGAGTGCATTAATTGCGTATTGCTCTGTACATTCACTAGGCCAGAAACGGAAGAATAGTAGTCTATAAAATGCTACTTCATAGTTAAGGTATGACGGTATGATGATGATGATGAAACTTCTCAGATGTTAGAGAATGTAATTTACCATAGATGTCTTGTATATTTAACCTTGTGAGTAAAATCAAAATTTGGGTCACCACAATGCTGCTTATTTTATGATGTAAGAACATTGCCTTGGGTTTAGTCCATGGAATATTGCTTGGTGCAATGTCAGTTTTTCAAAATCCCTCAACAAATGTTGGTTCAGTTTGTTTTCAGAGCCTTTTGGAGATTTTGAATGTGGTGTCAGACGTTCTGAACTATAAAGTCAAAGAGAAAGACTACATTCATAGATGATAGTCCCTTCAAGACCTTTATGCCATCTTCTAAGCGGACCTATTGGCTTCTGCATGGGCTGTGCATGTGGTTGTGACACTCTCGGCCCATCATAGAGAGCTTAAACTTTTTAAAGAAGCAGGATCAAAAGAACTTTCTGGTGACTTCACTCTGTTTGATTCTCAGACCTTTCCTCCACCTTCATCCCCTCCAGCTGTTCCTGAACAGCATTGAGCTTTGTTTCTGTGTCCGGATCTGTTTCTGGCGCCGGTGGTTGGGATTCCACCTGGGGCTCCTCACATCCGTTTGCCAGATTCTCTGTGCTCTCGTAACAACCAGAGTCCCGTGGCATTTCAGTCTTTTGCTCCTCGGTGTCAGATTCATCCTCCGCTGGAGAACAGAAAGGATGTTAGCACATTCAATCATAACTATGTTGGACACAATTAGGATAACTGTCTAGACTCGATGGCTCTACTTGGACGTACAGTCATGAAGCAGTTCTGTTGCTTTCAATATCTTCACCCGTTGCTCAGGGTCTGTAATGTTCAGCTCGTTCAGGTGAGACTCCTTCAGGCCGGTGAAGTCCTCCAAGCTCTGGAAGCCATGCATGGACAGGAGAGATCCCAGTTCCTGGACACACAGGGGTCAATCATAAGAAGTTAAAGAGCAGATCCTCTTGCACTATGATGAAATGGCATACAAATTTAAAAGAAAACAGCAATGAAATTTAGGCTTACAGTTAGGCCTATTCTCTCCAGAACTTCCTCCAAGGTTTTTGGTTTGGGTTTCTGGTGTCCGTGACTGTAGCACCGCTTCCTCTTTGGTGGCGTGTTCTCCTCTGGTAGTATTGTGACGTAGATGAATTTAAAGGAGCCCACTTTGTTATTGAGTTTACCAGTCCAGGTGCCTACTGGTGGCTTCTCGATAATCTGGATGATGTCTCCTTTCTGTGTTTTGAAAAAATATCAATGCACTGCATACAATATGCTTTTTTTTTTTTTTACTTTCGCCCATGAAACAGAAAAAAAAAATTAGGATAATGGATTGGTTGCTATTTATCTTGTGATTGGGGACTGAAGTTTTCAACCTTCAAAAATGTTGTGCTATATTTTCTAAAAATATTAAATGTACGGACCACTTTATACTTTTACATTTTAAAGCTTGAAGGCTTCAGTGCATTGTAATTAGAAAGGGGCATCCAGCACTATTTTTTTCAAAGTTGTAAATAAAACATTATTGACGTGTGTTTTAAATACAATAGAAAATAATATTCTATTACTATGAAAGTCTTTCTTCTTCAAAATGCCATTCATTGTGTTCCTTGCTTTTTCTTTGAATCTTTGTGAAATTTACTAGCAATTTCATAATAAAAATCTACACCATTTTTTTTAATAGTCCCTCAAAATTACTCTTTTTGTGTTACACAGACAGCAAGAAAATTGTATTTATATAGCACATTACACAAGGATAATTCAATGCTTTTCATCAAATTAATCAATGCATAAAAAATATAAAGTGGATTGAAAATGTATTTAAAATGTATTAAAAACAAATAAGAAGAGAAGAATACATAAATGACTAACACATTTTTTTGTTTTTGTATAAACTAATCTTTTATGTCTCCATTGTCTAAATATGTGTCCAAAAATAGCTCATTTTAAAAAGCTGACCTGTAGTTTGAGAGATTCCATGTCATATGGACTGGGGGTGAAGTCAGTGTGGACAAGGGCTCTGCCACAGAAGGGCCCTGTGTAGGTGCTGTCCTCCAGTCTCATACTGTCTCTCTGGCTGAAGCCACTGTCCAGACTCTGTCTGTCAGAACCTGCACATCAAGAGGGAAAAAAATCAATCAGCCTTGTATGATATTGGTTTAGCCAAGATATTGTGCCGGTCTGACATAGCTTACATCCAGAGAGCTGGCGTGAGAGGGGGGTGTGCATGGTGTCCTCTGAGCTGTTGGAGCACACAGATGTTCTGTTCCCAGCACTGAGATCTGGCATCCAGTCACTTGGAGACATGGGAGACATAGAGCCGTCCTCCCCACTCTCATTCTGAAATCAACAAATTTAACGATTTACAGTTTATTTTGTGACCTAACTTTAACCACTGGTAACACCCTGAGGTGCTGACAGTGTCGAATATCCTGATTTCATCCACATGGGGGAGACACATTCAAGCTGTTATTAAGTGTTTGTTAGACTTGATGATTGCAAATTACTAGTAAAGAAAAGGAAATAAAAAAAACTATTTCTGGGACTGAGATATTTTAAAAGAATTTTACCACCGATTTTAATTTAAACATGGGAACTCGGTTGAGTAAGTTGCATAGGTATCATGAACCTTTAAATTTTAGCATTTTCTACTCTAGTTTAAGGCTATTTTATAACTGCCAATTAAACACATCATTTATAAAATAATGTATATAAATTAATTTACATGGCAACTTGAAATGCTAAAAATAATTTAGCAATTGATATGAACCCAGGATGCTGTAAAAGAATACATAACTCACCCCTTCCTCTGCAAGGGCTTTCTGTACCATCTTGGATGTTTTACGGGTCATTGTGCGAGATATGACATTTCTCCATTTCTTTCCGAGTTTTCCGTTACTTTTACCCGAATCCTCTGGTAATGGACTCTCAAACTTCTGTAATAAATGTCACCAAAAAAAATATGCTTTTACTAATTGGCAATAGCTGTTTTACTGAGCACTTGCTCAGTTTAGCAACTAACTTTGTCTTATTGACTCATCAAACTTCCCCTTGTGTTGTCTAAAAAGAGCTACAATACAGGCAATGAATAATTGTTGCTAGACTGGTTGTTCTGTGCACTATTTCGTGGCTCCGTGGTATAAAGAAACTGACACAGAACTCTGTTAACCGATTTGATTTACCTGTGACTTGTTTTTAATTTCGGTTTGCAGTTCTTTGATGTGTTATTCATAACCCATTTCTAATGTGCCATGGTTCATCAGTGCCATGTTTGTCCTGGCTGAGCTGAATCAGCACATATTGTTTGTGGTATAACCACAGTAGAAGTAGTGTTAGTTTTAATGCGATGGGCCCCTGTTTTATGCAGGATTTCCAGTAAAGTTTATGACGGTGGTTTTTGTGTCAGTGAGACAATGTGGCTCCTCCTCTCTGAGCTCTATACCTCTAAATGTCAGAGGCTCTTCCGTTTACTGCGTGAGGTCTGAGTTATCAAAGGCATAGACAGAAAACAAAAGTACCTGTCAGCGTCATGGGAATTTTACATCAGTCTGTTACATTATTACAGTCTGATTTGATTTAGCGCCTCACTAACTCCTCCACAGAAGGGTATTCCACACTGTTCGACACACTTTTCTCATCAAAAAGACAATGCACATTCTTTTCACAACAGTATATATTATAAATGTATATTATGTATTATTTATGTAAATGTATTTCTTATGATAAAATAGTGTCTAATTTGATAGTGAAATATATACAATATTTTTCATACGTTTGGAGATTTTTGCATTTATTTGATTAAAAATACAGTTAAACACAGTTACATACACTTTAAAATAAGTTGTCTAGTTTAATATATTTCAAAAATGTAATCTATTCACTAAAAAAATAACTCTTTGAATGAAAAAAAAATCATGGAAAGGATTTCCAAATGATTAACTTGCTTTATTTCAGCATTATGCAATTATGTTATTCCAATTTTTTTGTCCTTACGTTGGGTCAACTTAATTCATTCAACTTATTAACAATGCATGGGCACAGCCTTATTTATTAGTGTCAGTGAATTTAAAAAGGCTCCCTGTCCCCTGATATGATTCAGGTATTCAATTTCATATATTCATTCATCCAATGCATTACTAGACTATAGCCATCTATAGCACTTTATAGCATCTTAAATAAGGTTTATTTGATTCATTCACCAAAGCATATGCTGTGAATGTTGCAGAATCAGTCTTCAGAATCTATTCTCTCGTAATTCAACCATTAATGCAACACAAATCAATTATGTGATACAACACAAACAGATTAAGTAAACTTAAATGTTATATATATATATATATACATTTAAACAGATTGAACACAATCAAATTAAGTTTGGACAAAATGTATAGCAATTGTGTTACTTAAGCTCATTTTCAGGAAGCAATTTGAAGCAGCAAAATTCATTTGTTTTAGTCATTTTTTTTATTCAAGCAGAGAGACTGCTTAGCCTTCTGTCTGCTTTTTAGAGTAGACAGTGGTATAATTTTAATAATATTTTATAAATATTTTATATGTTACTGTTCAAAACCTTTGGGTCAGTAAGATTATTTTTTTATCAAGTAAAAAAAATACAATAGATTAATGTTTAAAATGTTGCTGTTTTGAGTAATGATGCTGAAAATTCAGCTTTGCCATCACAAAGCTGAATTTTCTGCATCATTACTCCAGTCTGTGGTCACATGATCACCTTCAGAAATCATTATAATATACTGATTTGAAGAAACGTTTCTTCAGGATACTTTGAATAGAAAGTTCAAAAGAACAGCAAAATTTTAAACATTAATTTAAACATTAACTTAATTTATAAAATGTTTATAAAATATTATTAAAATGATACCACTGTCTACGCTAAAAAGCAGACAGAAGGCTAAGCAGTCTCTCTGCTTGAATGGCTCATGAAAGAATGGCATCCTGTCTAGATATTTTTAAAAGTGTGGTTTTAGAGATGAAGTAGTTATAAAAAAACATTCTAGCAGTTGAATATTAATGCTGACTGCAAAATGAGCACAGATTATTTTGATGCTGTTGTTTTTCTCCTCTAAACAACAGATATTGGTCAATTTGCACGGCTACACATTACATAATATTTATACCCAAAAGACAGGAGTGAGTTGGAGCTTGAGTACAGCAACTTCATCTCCATATAACAAACTACTGCACTTACAGATTCATCCAAGGTAGCCTCAGGGCTCACTATAGGTGACGATGGCTTTGGCTTCATAAAGTCTTTGAAGCTGCTGGATCTTTGCAGAGTCAGCTATGGAGACAGAACATTTTCTCATCAGAGATTATTTAAAGTTAAAGTAATATTCAGATACAGACAGACGGACAGATAGATGGATGGAGATATTTTAGATATTTTGTCCTATGCATTCAACCATAAGGCCATTGGGTTGTGAGCAATAAAATGAAAATGTAAACAGCAGAGTCATGCAGCATTACGCTGATGAAATGTTATCGCAATGCATCATGAACAAATCCAGTTTAGTTTAACTGATACTGCAGCTCATGTTATAATGGCCATTAAATGCGATTGTATTTCCACAAGCAAATATCCTGATCAATATTTGAAAGCATTATCAAACCTCCAGAGCAACATTTGGGCAGAAAAATCCACAATATCTTTTTCAGATCCATAGACCAGATGTAATTATAAACATGACTCATGAGTGTTTTTTTTAGGGTGGAAAAGCCTTTGAACTGTCTATGAAAAATATATAAATGTCAAAATGACAAAAGTCACACTTAGCCTAATTAAGGGCCAACTGTATTATATTAACATTAAATAAATAAATAAAAAATATAATACACTTCTACTCTTAGTAACACTTTAATTCAATGGTCCACTAGACATTCTACTAAGTAGTAACTACTAAGTTACTGCTAACTTAGAAATTATGTAACTTACTTATTATTAACTTAGTAGTTACAAACTTACTAGACTTTCTACTAATTAACTAAATGTCAACTAGCAGCCATTAGAGTATTAGTAAACTGTCTGCTTAATATCTGCTTACACTTTATTTTGATGGTACGCAACAGATTATAAGTAACTTTGCAAGTACATGTCACCTTTTTCAGGCCCAAACCCAACCAGTCTATTAATATTTTAAAAACACTCTAATGAGAGTTTGTTGACATGTAGTCAGACTGTCGAAATAAAGTGTAACCATATTCTGTCATGGCATGGTGGGCCAAAGGTCATCATGGTCTGACTTTGGCACATGAGCCCTGGTTTGGACTTTGGACATTTCTAAACCATATGATAAAGTCATTATTTATCACATGATGTTCATTTATAGGCGAATATACCTATGCATTTAAACTGTAAGATACATTGTTTTGCAAAGTGTGGCTTGTTAGAGTTGATTCATTCATAATTATGCACTTTTTTATAAATGATAAAATCATTCTTTTTTTGTTTTTGTGGTTTTGTGGGCTGTTGTGCATAAAATTGTTCTAATTTGACTCTAAACCTTTGACTGTGCCACTTAGCACAGGAAGTGGGCATGTTGCAGCCAATCCCTGCAGAGCTGTGCACTATCTAGACAACAGACTGCAATCTGCTAAACCAACCAAATGCAAGAAGAGATGGTTCAGCTGGTCAAAACTAGTAAAATGACAAGAGTTTGCTTCTTTGAAAGTCTATTAAATTAAAGTTACACTGTTGTGGAAAACATAACATGTCAACTTATTAACAAGACTTCCCTATTAATTTCCCCAAAACTGTGACAACATTCTTCAACATCATCATAACATGTTGAAATGTATTTTTGACAGATCTCGACTGATTGACTGATTACTCATAATTTCTAAACCATGACCAAAGAGGAAACTGCAGCATTTTGAGATTATGTGGTGGTGAAGTGTTTTCATTTACACCATTCCAATGAACTTCAACGGTATGCTACATCCTCTGGATAAGAATATAAGACTTTGGTTTTAAAAAATATAAACTAAAGACATCAAAGTAACGGTGATGCGCGACAGCAAGACTTTCCGATCTCGCTTTGCTTGGGTTACATGCATTTATGAAACACCTGCAGTTTCAGAGAGGAGAAATATCGAAACTGATTGGTTGTCACACGCAAGATGTGAATCAAATGGAAAATAAGAGTAATGCTAAAGAAGCAGTTAACCACTGAACGAGAAGAAGTTGAGTGTGAAGATGTACATAAGCGTCACTTTGAATTCAGGAGATGTGTTTGGATGCTTTGCTCTGATGAGATATGAACCGCTTCAGGATGTGTGCTGCGGTCTAATGTGTTTCTACAGGAACTGCTGCACAGCCATGCATAAACCCAGAACAATCATACAGTTTCAGTTCTTAATCTTCAGAATGACAGGTCTGAAGACAAACGGGACATATTACAATAGGACTATTATTCACATTGATGAATGAAAACATTTGAAAAACAACAAAAGCAACAAAAGCACATGTGTTCTGCTCTGATGCATCTTTTCATTTACTTTTTGTACGTAAACAGCTTTTATGTGTGTTTGCATCTTCTTGGGAATGCAGACCTCCAGAGGGGTCCTCCAAGAACATCTTTTCTACTCTGGTTTCAACTCTTCAAAACTGGGCCGCACACGCAGATTAAGGCACAAATTCTTACCTTCTTCTTTTGCACCTGAGCCTGTTCCTTTTCAGATGCGTTGGATGGTTTCCGCCGTAACATGTTGATCCAGCTGTGGGTGGGCAGTATTCTTCTGACTCTGAGGACCACAACTATAGATGTGGCGGTATGACACTCGACTGTGCTGAACTAACTCCTGTCTGTCTCACTGCCAAGGTGTTCCACTCAGAGAACGACAGAAGCCACCAGAGGAGGAAGAGGCAGAAGAAAAGCTCTTCTCTGATCGCTGGAGTGGAGAACTAAACGCTTGAGGAAGTCACATGACTAGACAGGAACTTCTTTTTTTTTAAGAGCTGGCTTTGGATGAAATGGTTTATTACAGACAGAAACAAACCAAATTACCTGTTACTTACATACTCAGTGATACAGAACATCTTCAGCCTGAAGAGCATGAGGAATTATTTTGTATTGCTTGACATAAACAATCTCTTAAGTCGCTGATATATTTATATATATATATATACATAAATCATAATTTTACATACATAAAGCTGTTAGATCAGTAATAATTCGGGTAACACTTTAGTTTAGGGTCCACTAAAGTTTGACCATCATTCCTATTATTAGTAATTAGGCCATGTCTAAATTATCATAATGCCTTACTAGTGATTTATAAAAGTTAAAAACTGAGACCTGCATGTAAGATCAGCCAGCTGAGACAGACAATGGAGTGTGAGTTGGCAGAGAGTTATTTTTGTTTGTTTTGTTTGTTTCACCCCCTCCAAAAACGAGCCTGTTATGTTATGAGTGTGAAACATTTGGACAAAATAAGCCAATGTTTACAATAGATGCAAGTGACATGCAGTACATGACTTTAGATCCAGACAGTAATTTCAGCTGTAGCCTACAGGCAGTGGTCAAGCACAATGACAACTGTAATGAGGTCACCGTTTTCAACACCTCCTGTTGCTGTAGTTCCTCTTTATGGAAAGTCACGCCATACACAGAGCCTCGACTAAAACATGACAAATGTAATCACATTCATCAGTCCTGTTATTGTGAAGATAAGGAAAATGTTCAAAGTTGTTTTGAGATGGGGCAAACAACAAAGTACAGAGAGAGAGAGAGAGAGAGAGAGAGAGAGAGAGAGAAGCGGGCGTCTCAGAAACCACATTCACACCTTACTGTGGTTCTGACGGAACTGTTGCCAAGCAACAGCACCTCTGCAGGCATGAGCCCTTCACATGCAGCTTCAGGCCTGTGACAATTAAAGGGTATTGGAGAAGTTGGTTTCTCAGAAAGTTAAGATGTGTGACAGCTATGATATCTGGGTGAGAGATAGGGCAGGACTTTAGGTGCTTGGGGTGTTACTGTCATGCCAGTTTCAGTTGTCTAAAAACCCTGCCCTGCTATAAAACAAAACACATACAAATAAAATAAACAAACTGGACATGACATATTGTGCCAATATTTTAGAAAGGAGTGGTCAGTTTGCTGTGGGATTCGAGCCTGGCTAACGTCAGACCACATCTCATTGACATTAGGCTTGTTTGAGATGAGCAAAATCTGCGCAGAACCGATCACCGGTGATCAGCGCGAGATACATGCCAGTTAGAAATGTGTCTGAGTGCGGTCCGCCCATAGACAGTATAAGAAGTGGACAGAGCCATCTTATTGGAACTCCATTGAGACAAGTGAAGCCCGTTTTTGGCGATTTTTTAGCACTTCCGTCCCTGACGCGCAGACTCAAACAGAGCTTGACGACGTAGATGTGACGTGAGCAGCCCGTCTGTCTTCTAGTGCTGTGGCATTCCCTTCCGAAACATGCAGAGGTGGAGAGTGTAGGAGCTGTCCATGAGCTAGGAGCAGGAGAAACTTTTGCGAGGTATTCTGATTAATTATTTTGTCATTAGGCCTCCACGTTTCTCTGATTGCCTGCGAGCTTCTCCTCCTGTCCATACGGTAGTCGCGTGGGTATGACGCAATTGTTAGCCTACTTTTACAAAAAAACTGCTTCTAAGGGGCCATAACATAAGCTACAAGGTAATGGAGCATTTTATACATTGTCATGTTTCTTTAGAAATAAATAATGGACAAATGGAGTCTTCAAACGCCTCAGATGTAAAGTTATTCGCTGTCAAAGTGACGGCAAAATGAATGGGAGTCAATGGAAATGCTAACGCAAGTGAAGTTCTGCTACAAGATGGCAGCTCCTGTGAGGCTTCAACTTCCGGTTGATGGATTACCCCATTGGGTCCGCCTTGCTCTGATGTCATGCCGATGTACAGTATGTCACAAATCTCTCGCGAGCGCAAGGTGGACGTGTCGGATTCTGCAGTCGCGCACAGTTGCTCTCCACCGACTGATCAAAAGCACGATGGGAAACGACTTGCTGACGACACAGCTTAATGCTCATTGGTTTAAACAACCGTGATGTATTGTTCTCTTTTAAAATATTTGAAACTCTGATATCATGTTTTGTGTGTATAAATTATGAGTGGATATTCCCAAACTCTCTGACAGTGTGATCTACTGTATGTGATGTATTTTTGTACATTTTTAAAAAATAAAACGAAAAATGTATTGATTAACACGCAGGCCTGTTTAAAATGGAATTAAATAAGTGCTTTGGGTGTCTTGTTATATTTACTTTCATTTATAAGCAACAAAACTTAAAGGTATTGTAGGTAAGAATATTATAAAAAACTTTTTTCCAAATTTGTTTAAACTTTCTATTTATATCAATGCATAATTAAAATGTAAGTACTCTGATAAAAAGAGTCATACCTGTTCACATGCCCTTGTTTGAACTTGAAGATGCAAAACTCGACGCAGGTCCTCTTGTCCAAGAAGTGCTCCTTGCCCTGCACTTCGACCACCCCGTCCTCGGCCTCTACTTCCTCGGACCCTAGTTGCACGGCCTCCTCTGCTTAGCCCTCGACCCCGGATCTGTCCTCGAGCTGTCGATGCGGTAATATGACATCATGATTTTTGCGTAAACATACATGTGTTATCTATATACATTTTGAGCTATCCGTGTGTATCCGTGTGTATACATGTATGTCTACGCCATTAAAGGGGTCATGAACTGGATTTTTAATTTTTTTTTATATTGTTGTCTGAGTCAACTTATGACGTTCGCTTGGTTTTTACATTAAAAAACATCACAATGAATAAGTAATAGGCTATTTTCTACCCTAGTTTTGAGTCTAGCTCAAAAACGCTCGGTTTTTATGGGCGTCTCGCATTGAAGACTTGGAAGTAAACACCCACTGCTGTGAGTGGATAACAATTTTTCATATTATAATGAGTTTCACTTTCGATCAGGTTTGTCATCATGAGGTAGGAATCTATGTTCTTTAGCTATGTCATGCGTGAATCGGTGGGCGGGGCTAAACCGGCCATGTTGAAGTAGGCGTTGATCTTCTTATGCGGGGTGGTGTTTTATCCTCTTTGACGGTAGTTCAAAGATAGTTCCCCACTTTGAAAAACGAGTCGTTTGCTAAGCCTGATGTCAATAAAAGCTTTTATTGGACTAACAAGGACGTTTTCAGTTCTGAAACTTACAGGATATTCTTATAATATGATGACCTCTTAGATGTCAAAAAAGCTCAAGGAAAATTAGATTTTTCAGTTCATCACCCCTTTAATGTCCGAGTGATTCCGTGTGTATGTAGCCTACACGCCGTTAAATGTCTGAGCAAAACGAAGCAAAATGTAGATCTACATCTGGGGAGCAATATTTTTTTCCTAGGATGGTAGGGGAAGACTCATAAATGCTATTAACCCCAGTGACGGGAAGGTTTAAGGACGGGGTTAGGTCATGTATTTCAACCCGGTGTCACGACAAGACGTGAAATAATCACGTTGGTCCACTTTGGGAAACGTGTAGATGCAGGGTTTAACCCACTCAAACGTGAAATTTACACGTTTGCGTTAACACGTTCCAGTGGAGAGATACCCGGATGTTGACCTATTCTACACGCAATCGCCTCTGCCACTATTGGTTTTCATTAAACCTAGAAAAATGGAATTTTGTTTTATTGACGATCACTGAGAAATGTTAATTCTATTATTTAAAATGCAAAAAAAAATTATTATTTTCAAGGTGAAAAGGATTCATTTGCCTTGATCCACGCCGAAAAAAACGTCTAAATGTCACGTTTTTAATGAAGTAGCCGAGTAAACTCTATTTTCCGGCGTCCCCCAGCTCCTCATTTAAGCAAAAGGTATGCTAAAGCAACGTATTGCATCGACGTTAAACCACGTTAACCTTGTTAACACCGGAAAAATAGAGGTTTTACTCATTAGGCTACTTCATTAAAAACTAATAGACGTTTTTTTTTCGGCGTGGGTATGGGGCGCCGTTTGTAAAGCGGCTCCTGCTGAAAATAACAGCAACATTTTGTCACATTTAGCTTCAAACTATGTTTAAAAAACTGGTATGAATTTTTGACGGTCACTTTTTTAGCGCATTTACATGTAGCCTATTTGTCAACTTAGAGATATTTAAAATAGTTAAATCTAAATATTAAATGTTAAATCTAAATCTAAATGTTAAATCTAAATCTAAATATTACATCTAAATGTAAATGCTAAATATAAATGTTAAATCTAAATCTAAATGTTAAATATAAATATTTATCTTAAATATAAATGTTGTATAGTGTCAAATAACGAATAAAAAACGTCTCATCTGGGGAAATTGACTGTTGGACATGGATTATCGCGATGATATAACTAGCTAAAATAATAATTCGTTTGACATTTTAGCCGAGCAGCAGCTCTGCAGGCTTTTTTGCAAGCGAACGTGACAGATCAGTCAAAGTGAGCCCCCTCGTGGCTGGCGATTATGACTACAGGTCATAAATCCCGCACCTTTCATAAAAGTGACACTAAACCTCAAACTAGCCTACTCTTCAAATACAGTTTCTCCAAACGTGTTTATTATTATTAATCCATGTCCAAGAATGCATTTCCCTGGATGAGATGTTTTTTATTTGTTATTTGACACTACAAACATTTATATTCAACATTTACATTTAACACCCAATTCCATAAAAGTTGGGACACTGTACAAATTGTGAATAAAAACAGAATGCAATGATGTGGAAGTTTCAAATTTCAATATTATATTTAGAATACAACATAGATGACATATCAAATGTTTAAACTGAGAAAATGCATAATTTTAAGGGAAACATAAGTTGATTTAAATTTCATGGCATCAACACATCTCAAAAAAGTTGGGACAAGGCCATTTTTACCACTGTGTGGCATCCCCTCTTCTTTTAATAACAGTCTGCAAACGTCTGGGGACTGAGGAGACAAGTTGCTCAAGTTTAGGAATAGGAATGTTGTCCCATTCTTGTCTAATAAAGGCTTCTAGCTGCTCAACTGTCTTAGGTCTTCTTTGTTGCATCTTCCTCTTTATGATGCGCCAAATGTTTTCTATGGGTGAAAGATCTGGACTGCAGGCTGGCCATTTCAGTACCCGGATCCTTCTTCTACGCAGCCATGATGTTGTAATTGATGCAGTATGTGGTTTGGCATTGTCTTGTTGGAAAATGCAAGGTCTTCCCTGAAAGAGACGATGTCTGGATGGGAGCATATTGTTCTAGAACTTGGATATACCTTTCAGCATTGATGGTGCCTTTCCAGATGTGTAAGCTGCCCATGCCACACGCACTCATGCAACCCCATACCATCAGAGATGCAGGCTTCTGAACTGAGCGCTGATAACAGCTTGGGTTGTCCTTGTCCTCTTTAGTCCGGATGACATGGCGTCCCAGTTTTCCAAAAAGAACTTCAAATTTTGATTCGTCTGACCACAGAACAGTTTTCCACTTTGCTAGAGTCCACTTTAAATGAGCCTTGGCCCAGAGAAAACGCCTGCGCTTCTGGTTCCCGTTTAGATATGGCTTCTTTTTTGACCTATAGAGCTTTAGCCGGCAACGGTGAATGGCACGGTGGATTGTGTTCACTGACAATGTTTTCTGGAAGTATTCTTGAGCCCATGTTGCGATTTCCATTACAGTAGCATTCCTGTGTGTGATGCAGTGCCGTCTAAGGGCCCGAAGATCACGGGCATTCAGTATGGTTTTCCGGCCTTGACCCTTATGCACAGAGATTGTTCCAGATTCTCTGAATTTTTGGATGATATTATGCACTGTTGATGATGATAACTTCAAACTCTTTGCAATTTTTCTCTGAGAAACTCCTTTCTGATATTTTTTGCCTCAGCATTGGGGGAATTGGTGATCCTCTGCCCATCTTGACTTCTGAGAGACACTGCCACTCTGAGAGGCTCTTTTTATACCCAATCATGTTGCCAATTGACCTAATAAGTTGCAAATTGGTCCTCCAGCTGTTCCTTATATGTACATTTAACTTTTCTGGCCTCTTATTGCTACCTGTCCCAACTTTTTTGGAATTTGTAGCTCTCATGAAATCCAAAAGGAGCCAATATTTAGCATGGCAATTCAAAATGTCTCACTTTCAACATTTGATATGTCATTTATATTCTATTGTGAATAAAATATAAGTTTATGAGATTTCTAAATTATTCCATTCTTTTTTTACTCACAATTTGTACAGTGTCCCAACTTTTTTGGAATCGGGTTTGTATATGTATTTATTTATTTATTTATTCAGACATTATAAGCAACCATAATAGAGATTCATTGTGTCTGAGAGGTATTTTGATAAAAGAAAAATAACATGGATAAAAAAAAAAAAAAAACAAAAAAAACAAAAAAACAAAAAAACATCATGGAGTAAATATAGTTGGATTTTCTGCATCAATGGTTTAAAATATAAAACCCCCAACTAGGGTTCCCCCAAAACCAATGGTCTTTTCGAGAGTTTTCACTCCCTGAAGTGAATAAGAAAAGCACATTAACTTTGTCTGTGGCTGTCTTTAGATATACGATATGGATTGTGTCATTTCTTTCCATCTCTAGCTTTTTGACAGCTGGCTATGATTGGCTATCATGGAGTGATTTCGCATGCAACCAAACCTGCGCTTGCACAAACTACACGTCCCGCCTTCCCCAAATATCCTGCAAAGTGACTGGCCGCTGAACGACAAGTAGCGCTGTAGCTGGATGATAAACAAAACAACAGAAACAGTGTGGTCATTTTCACACGTTTGTTATTTTCCTCCAAAGGCTGGAGAACAAAATCGTTTTTTTTTATATAAACTATGGCTACAGTCAAAAAGGACGACCGACTGACAAGTTCTCAAAGTCTAATGTGCGTCGGGTTTGCCGGGATTTTTAGCAAAACTGTAACGTCACCTCTGGAAGTCGTAAAGATTTTGAGTCAAATAGGAACATTTCACTGTAAACGTGGTTTTCTACACCGCTTTGTTGTTATTTGTCAGAATGAGGGACTTCGAGCATTTTGGAAGGGTAATATGGTTTCCTGTCTACGGTTGTTCCCCTACAGTGCCATACATTTAGCAACTTACAAAAAGTAAGTATTAAACATTTTAATTTTAAATAATGAATACTTGATAATTAGCGTTTATGCCCGATACGTTTCGCTGTTTTGTTTAACTGAAGATATGATCAGCTTTTCATTCGGCTGTGATGGTAAACAACGACTACAGGAAGTCGACGTGCTAGCTTGATAACGTTAGCATTTGAAAGTACGTTACAATACTGAAAATAAATTAATTAAAAATGTAAATACTAATAAGTGAGGACTCATTTAAATGTAATTAAAGTGTTTCATTTGCGGGTCGTTTAAAGAACTTATTTTATTTAACCACCTTGCTTCAATATTTCAGCTTCTGTTGTTTCTATAACGGGGGTTTACGTTAGTTCATCGTGAACACATCACGCCTTCATGTCCTGACCAATCACGTGGCTCAGAAAGCCAGCAGTTGATGTGGTGTCATCCTGAACTCTATAAAGTAACCTTTCTGAATCTGAAAATCGGTGCATTCATAAACAAGTTCAGTCGCGTAGTCTACGTGATACGCAGGTATACGCCGTAAGTTATACCCACTAGAAAATGTCAAGGATTTCCGTATGCCCACTAGGAAATGTCAAAGAAGCAAAGGGTGCTGGGATATCACAGTATACTCACTACAAAAACTAGACTACACCTCTGATTTCGGCTGTAGTGTTTCCATGGATATGAACAATACATTTGGAAACGCCTACCAGTGTTCAGCTCAGCCTATGCCTGTCCATAAACGAAAGAATGTCACGTGTATTTTTCACATGCTGCATGGGTTAACGGGGGCACCGGAAACAGTTTTAGAAAGACCCGTACATAGTGTTCTAGTATTCCAGGAAAAGATGAGTGGAGGGTTTATGGTGGAGGGTGTATTACGTCCTGTTTTGAACACATGACCTCTCGAATGCAAGTCGCTGGTTTCGAAGTTTATTTTGTTGGTTAATAATCACATTTGTAGTAAAGGATTTCATTTTATATTTAGCCTACTGCTATTAATACTATATATTTAATAATTACCTAATAATGAACACAAGCATATATGTACATATTAATACCAAATAACAATACTTAAGAAATTAATAACTTTTTACAATTATAATTTACATTATAGCCTAATTATATTAGTAAAAATCACATAAACTTTTTAGTGTTTCATACACTAGCAAAAATTGCACTGTACTGTGAAATGTACTGACAGACAAATAGCAGTACCTTTTCTGTTAAGATTGTGTACATTTCCTTCAACCTTAAGACACAACACAATGATTCACTCACAATATAAGTAAAACAGAACATCCCTATTAACATAGTACATTGTGCTGTATTTTTGCACACTTCTTAAAGTATAAAGCCTCAAGTTATGTATATATTATGTTAAAGTATTTTAGCATTAGCCTTTAGATCATGAGAATATATCAGTTAAATGTGTTTGGTAGATATGTCCGGTACTCTACATTTATCAAAAATGCTTACTATTCATTTTCTTCTATTTTTGGCAGTATTGTCCACCTTCATATTGATGAACTGGGTGATATCTCACAATGGAGAGCTATAGTAGCCGGTGGGCTGGCAGGCATATCTGCCGCTCTAGCAACATATCCATTGGAGGTGGTTGAAACCAGACTTATTGCTCAGAATTGCAAAGAACCAACTTACAGAGGTTTGCTGCATTCTTTCTCCTGCATATACAGAAATGAAGGACTTCAAGCTCTCTACAGGGGGTTTTCCCTCACAGTGTTGGGTATGTATGGTTTAGACCCTGTAAACATCAAAACCAAGCTCATGACCTTCTAATTAATAAAAGTTCTACAATTCTGCTTAAAAAGTTGATGAAACTTTGTTTGGATTTCTGTGGAATAGGCGCGGTTCCGTTCTCTGTTGGTTGCTATGTGGTCTATGTCAATTTGGATAAGCTTTGGCAGGAGCGTCATGTTCGCTTCACATCTTTGCAGAACTTCATCAATGGATGTCTTGCGGCAGGAGTCGCTCAGACTCTCTCCTTCCCCTTCGAAACTGTTAAAAAGAAGATGCAGGTGAGAATAGTTGTAGTGCTATGTCTCACCACAAGGGGGCACAAAAGTGTCACAGACTTGGGTCTCCCTATGCAAAAAACTATGTAAAATTCTTATATATAAGATTTTTTTTAATAAGAAATATACAAATATATATACAAATATATATATAAATTTATATACATATATATATATATATATATATATATATATATATGTATACATGCATATATACATACATTATATATATACGTATATATATATAAGAATTATGTATAATTAAGAATTATATATATATAAGAATTATGTATAATTATATAAAGTATAAAGAATCACACATAGTCTTTGCAACAGGTCACACAGAACAATGCTGGACACAATTATGAAGGACACAAGGCCTTGCAGCAGCTGAGAATGCACAGTGTCCAGTGTCTGCCTATGCCAAAGATATATTGTCTAAAGATAGCTGACCTTTCACACACACACACACACACACACACACACACACAACAAACACGGTATATCTGATCTAGTTCCTATATGTTTTGATTGGCTCTACAAACAGCCAAACTAGAAATGAAAATCTCTGCCTTTTTTTCTTTTGCAAGTTAAATTGCGTTTTCAGAAATAAACTGACCAAAGCTGCTGAATGTTCTGTCAGTCTGGTGCTTAAAAATGTATTGGTATCACTTTACAATAATGTTTCAACTACTTTTATTATCATGAACTAAGAACTAACAATAATTCTACAGCATTTATTTTACTAATACTAATCAAACTTTGTGTTTGTTTACATTCGTTATTGCACTGTGAACTAACATGAACAATCAATTAACAAAAACCTGGATTTTTATTAACTAACGTTATTACTTACAATGATGAATAAATACTGTAACAAATGTATTTCTCATTGTTTATTCATGTCAGTTAATATATTATGAGACATTGTAAAGTGTTACCAAAATATCTATTGACACCATCAACATAGCCTACGGAAAACACAGAGGGTTTAAGGGTAGGTAAATGTCAGAAAATGTGTTACAGTAAGGCAATCAATTCAGAACAAATGTACATGAATTGAATAAAAACCTAGAGACAACATTTTGTATATTTTTTCCTATAACCAATAATGTCAGTATTTATTCTCTTATCTAAGTATTTCTTAATGATCAGGAATATTTCTTAAATAATCATTTTAGGCCCAGAGTCTTCTTTTGCCCCATTGTGGAGGAGTTGATGTCCATTTTAATGGAATGATAGACTGCTTCAGACAGGTCATCAAGAACAAGGGTGTCATGGCTCTTTGGAGTGGCCTTACAGCCAACATGGTGAAGGTGACGTCTGTTTTATGTACTTAAGTGGTGACGAGAGATAAAAATAACCCAAGCACCGAATGTTTTCTGTGTAAATGGTCATTCAAATTTCGATCAGACATAGTTGTGTATTACACAAACATGCATTCTATGAAATTAATACAACAAATAGTAACATGACTTTCTGGAGCTGGCTCTGCATGAAAAAGCATGCTCAAATGTCTTCAGTGGTTGTTTCCGGAAATACCTTATATAAATAATGGATTTCCACTTCCTTGTTAATGATATTATGTTTTGTTTTATTCATAACAGATTGTCCCATATTTTGGTCTGCTCTTCAGTTGCTTTGAGATGTGTAAGCAACTCTGCCTTTACCGGAATGGCTATATCATTTCTCCATTAAGCTACAAACTTAAACCAGGTGTGGACCAAAGTCTGGGCCCATCTGAACTGCAGGAGTTTAAGCGCTACCTGAGAAACAGAAAATCACACAAAGCACAGAGTTCATCCATAGGAAACCGCTGGTAACTAATCCCAAGATTTATCAGGAATAAACAGTACTCTGTGAAGTGCATTAATATTAAATGTGTGTACTGCTGGGATGCACAGTGTATTATTCAAAGTGGTACTTTGCAAAGCATATTTCATCATTATGAATAATATTTTACCTCTTGTTGTATTTATCTTCCGATATGGTATTTTAAGTATACTGCACATACATACTTGAAGCACAGTCCGTTACGTGCATTCTACAGTTCCTCAAATGCATCAGACATGCCCTTAAAGGAAAGAAGTGTGTCAATGGGGTATTATTAAAGGTGCCCTTTTCAACATTGACATATATTGATTTTAGCTCTACACTCCACTGAAATAGTGTTTTTAAGATCTGTCTAATCACTTCTCAGGAAAATATGTTGAACATCATTTCAACAGTTCAGAGCAATGCCTTTGTCAAACAAAGTATTAGTCTTTTACTGGATTTTTAGCTCTTTGTCCTTTTTAAAGGTCTTCTGTTATTTATGAACCACATGTTTTTAAGGTCATATGTGGTGCAGTTATGGAATTGTCTTTTTTGATCATATATGACAATTCTGAATCTGTATTGTAATGTGTACACATGGTAACCCAGTAATTAACGAATCTCATTTGGCTGTAAAAAAAAAAAAAAAAAAAGGACAGGATATGTTTAATGAAAGGTTATTTGAGGTTTTCGGTGATATCATTAAGACATTTTTAAATGTTGCACATGTTAAGATAAAATCTTCATGCACATTGTATAAAATCTTCAAGGACATATAAGCAATAAACATCTTAGACCTTGTTGTCAACGTATTGTATTATACACTCGCCATATTTTTGTCTCGCCATATTCGTTGCTTGTTGGATTGCATTAGTAGAAATGACAGTGATTCAGATAGCATTGATTTTGTATTGCCTTCTGTAGTCACATGTTCCCAAAATGGATCACTGGCTTTGCCACACAGTCAAAAGTCATGTGAAGGACTTTGTTCTGACATGTTGGCCTTTTTCCTCTCACACACACATGTCCTTGGAGATCATTAACTGAAGGCATGCAGCGACCTAGCTAGTTACTTACAGACATGCATGCCATGTCACCTTGGAGAACTGCTTCTTTGCTTGACAGCTAAAGGAAAACTGGACAATCCTGATTCTCTTGATTTATTGGACTGTCAGTGTGTATCAAAAACAGTGCAAAAAGAATGTGTGTTTTGTTACGTTTTAAATATTATTAGTCATGAATTATTGGCTACTTGGAAACAAAATTGTCTCTGTTTTAAAAACTTCCTGTTGTCATTTACGCTTTCCACCTTGAGAAGGCTTAAGGTTACTTTACTTTGAGCCATTCATCTCCGTCATCACGCGAAGACCCCGCCTTTTGGAATCTGTGACGTGTGGTCTACCGTCCAATCAAATCTTAAAGCGTCGGCTACGTATTTCTCTCGCGAGAAGAATCTTTTAAAAACGTCGCTTCAACTTTTCAATCGGCCATTTCGAATCAGCCGGCATTCCACGCAGTCCCTGCGGTCGAGCGGGATACTTACCTCTCCAAGCCACACCACTCTAAGAACATCCAACAATGAACGAGACCGCCATTTCCTTCGCTAAGGACTTCTTGGCCGGTGGAATTGCCGCTGCTATTTCTAAAACCGCCGTGGCCCCCATCGAGAGAGTCAAGCTGCTGCTTCAGGTAAATTAACGTTATATTCGCAATAATATGATCGGAATTTTATAATCCCGTAGTTAAAAAAAAATGAAGTTCTGTAACGTTAATGAGCTAAAGGTGAATACAACTATCGTAGGATAATCCTAGAACAGTGATATCCTCTTTAGATTTCATGTTTTTTTTTTCATTTAACCAGGTTGTTTAATGTTAGTTGAGTGGAGATTCGCCTAACACAATGACTTAATGGACGTCTGGCCAAACGAAAACCTCAGTCTGTAAAATAACGAATGTTTCTACTACATGCTGAGCCGTTTTAAAACTGAGCTGGTCGTCAGGGATCGACTAAAGCTGACGTTAGGCCTTCAGTGCTTGTAACCTTTAGCAACCCTCCTCGAGAGAACAACTTGAGAAATGCCTCGATCGACAGCCAATTGGCACTCAAACGACTAGAATTTAACAGCTCAATGAGCTTGTTGCTTTACTAAGGTTTTGAGGAGTCGTTTTGTCACTTTTATTTAAAAACATTTCCGTGAAACACGGTTAACCAGCATCCTCCCTTATCTCGCCAAGGTCGCGAGAAGGGGAGGCCTAAGTATAGCTAGGCCTTTATTGCTAGCATCCAAGCTAACGCTCTCGTCCTAGGACGATGAAGTCTCCTCTATTGTTAAGAGAACACGTTGCTCTAAAGGCGTATCATATGGTGACATCCTGTTTTAATGTTAAATACTTATAGCTCATACACCATTTTACACGAATGTAAGGGTTTTCGTGATAACTCCAGTCGACTTTACAGGAAGCTCTTACCGGAAGATATCGCGCATTTTTCGCACTGTCGCCTTTTCGTTTCACATAATCACGTGTTTGTTTCCTCAATTTTCTGTTTAGCCATTTCGCTTTACATCGCTATTTTAAACCATTTCCGTTTAATTCAGTTTTAGTTGCTTCAGTTTAGGGCATTTGTAATCTCATTGACTTCTATTCCTTAAATGAATTTTGTTGTGTGCATACTCTGACTTCTTCTTGTGTTTACAGGTGCAACATGCTAGCAAACAGATTTCGGTGGATAAGCAGTACAAGGGCATTGTAGACTGTGTGGTGCGTATTCCCAAGGAGCAGGGCTTCATCTCGTTCTGGAGAGGAAACCTGGCCAATGTCATCAGGTACTTCCCCACTCAGGCCCTCAACTTTGCTTTCAAGGACAAGTACAAGAAGGTCTTCCTTGATGGCGTTGACAAGCGCACCCAGTTCTGGAGGTACTTCGCTGGTAACCTGGCCTCAGGTGGTGCTGCTGGTGCTACATCCCTCTGCTTTGTGTACCCCCTCGACTTTGCAAGAACCCGTCTGGCCGCTGATGTCGGCAAGGCTGGTGCAGGAAGAGAGTTCTCTGGCCTGGGTAACTGCTTGGCAAAGATCTTCAAGTCTGATGGTCTCAAAGGATTGTACCAGGGCTTCAACGTTTCTGTGCAGGGTATCATCATTTACAGAGCTGCCTACTTCGGCATCTATGACACAGCCAAGGGTGAGTCCACGTTGAGTTATAGATGTGAACTTCAGTGTCTGCTATTGCTGCATTCTTTATATCTGTACTTTTTTCGTTTTAGGTATGCTGCCAGATCCCAAGAACACCCACATTATTGTCAGCTGGATGATCGCTCAGTCTGTGACTGCTGTTGCTGGTCTTACATCCTACCCCTTCGACACAGTCCGTCGGCGTATGATGATGCAGTCTGGACGCAAAGGAGGTCAGTTGCTGCTTATCTTAAACTTTTACTGTACAAGTTGACTAGTTCAAGCAGTGGATCAACTTTTTTTTTATTTTCTATTGCAGCTGACATCATGTACAGTGGCACAATTGACTGCTGGAAGAAGATTGCACGTGATGAGGGTGGCAAGGCTTTCTTCAAGGGAGCCTGGTCCAATGTCCTCAGAGGCATGGGTGGTGCCTTTGTGCTGGTCTTGTATGATGAGCTGAAAAAGGTCATGTAAATGTTTCCTGTCCGCCATTCAATGTGAGATGTTTAACTGTAACATATCTTGTAAATTTGGAAGGACTCTCAAATTCCACCGTATTTATAGGGACCAACTAGTATGTCAGTACTAGTTGTACTGGGGGAATTGTTTTTTTGCAGATTTCTTTTGGCCCATCTTATTTTTCCTTTTTGTTCCACTCACCATACTGTCATTCCCAGAAAGAAAGAATGCCCAGGTAATCTACCTGTTTTCCAGCCGGTCTGTTTTTAGCCGATGCATCAATAAAGACCCACTGAATGAACCTAAATCATAACTTGTCTTTCTTTTTTCTCGTTGTGATACAGGTAGGTATTAAATGATTTACTCACTTGGATTGCTTCTGCCATGTTCCTTAATTCAAAGTCTACAGCCTTTAAAAAAAACATGTCCACAAACTGAACTAGCAGAATTCTAGGCATTTTTGCACTCTAAAGATCCTTGACTTGTCATATCAATGTAATTAAAGCATTCAGTGTAATGGGGACATTTTATACATGGTATTAAATAAATTTATTGCAGTACTTGTAAACTGCACCACAGAGTTGTCATAGTGTTTATTCAAAGGCTAGACTTCAGACATGCCTTTCGAGGTGTTCCTGGATGGCAGGCAGTATTTTATTTCAAGATGCAACCTCATAACCTGTTGGCCCTCCAGAGTTGTGCTTGAGTCTTAGCCAAGAACAGCTGAGGGGTCTCTTGTGCCACTTGATATAATTCAGTCCCTCAAAACTGATTTGCATGTTGCTGTATAATAATCATGTTTCTGTATAATAATCTAAATGGCAAAATGCGTTTTATATGCTTCTGCATTATTATTTTTTTTTTTCACACTTGAGATGAATTTGGACGTTTTGGTTAACCAAAGAAATGCAAATTGACTTAAGCCTGTAGAGTCACATGAAACTAATTGAAATGGGGGAAATTTGCTGAATCTTGAGAGGGTCAGATGGTCATACTGTTGTAGGTGACCTAATGTTATCAACAATAATAAAATTAACAGTTGTGAGGCCAATGACTCTCCAGTGAGATCCACTATTGGAGCAGGAGGCTCATATATGCCCTCTTACGCTAAAAACCTCGGTGACCTCTTAGTAGACATCAAGCTAGTCGTAAATTAGCTCACTAATCCGTCCTTGCATCACCTTCAGTTCAAGCGTGGAATTCTTGAGTGTGGTATTACAGGATGTTAAGTAGGGATAAATAGTGGGTGGTGTTGAAAATAGATTATAGCCTTCTGAATGAGTGCAATTTGTTTTTTTAAATAATTTCTCCGAGACGGGCTGTTCAATTTTATGATTAAACTGTTTTTAGAACAGTGTTCATTTAATTTAAATCATTTTGATTGCTTCGCATTCCACATTATCACAACTATATGGATTAATAAATATTTTGAGTTTAATGTAATTTTCATTAGCTACGCAAATCGTGGCAAAAGGAATAAAGAAAAAAGGCACATCACATGAATTTACCATCTGTTTCGTCAATGTTAGGTGATAAATGTGTTCAGTCTAGTGGAGCAAATGTCAATTGCGTGACGAGCAGCAGATTACGCAACACGACACTGCATGTTCGCTCTTGGACGTGACCGGACGTGACGTAAATCCTGGACTGCTGTTCAAACTCGCGCAGGCTGGCAGGCGCTACTCGCAGCAGATCACATGACTTGTACAGATTCGGTCGCATGGTGCTATTTTTATGGGTTTAATCTGGCTGGCAGTGGTACTGGCAGTATGCTCTATTTCATCATGTGACTGTAGAGGTTTAATCATATCCCAGCTGCCTGAATGAACCTGTCCAAGAAGAATCAATTTATCTTCTGCTATCTGGATTGCTGATCCTGCTAGGAAAGTGATGGTACTCAATAGCCTAACGATGATGCGTTTGATTAATCTCAAGAGACCCGTTCACAAAAAAAGATTCATTCATTGATTCGATCAATTAACCTTTTTGCAGGCTAGAAGATTAATGTTACGACAGTAGACAGAGTTGTGTGTAATGAATTTGGAATATAATAGTATAGGGTACTCTATACCATGGCAAAAATTTTAAATTGGGTTTAAGCTTGATTGTACTGCTCTTGTATGGATTTACTATTTTAGAGCACAACGCTGAGAGACACTATTTGTATAAAAGATAAAATAGTTT